CGCCACAGAGCTGGAGTACGGCCTGGTGGCGGAGGCCGAGGCCGAGGCCCAGCCCGCGCTGAAGAAGGACGAGGGGCCCTACAAGATGGAGCACTTCCGCTGGGGCAGCCCGCCCAAGGACAAGCGCTACGGCGGCTTCATGAGCTCCGAGAAGGGCCAGACGCCCCTGGTGACGCTGTTCAAAAACGCCATCATCAAGAACGCCCACAAGAAGGGCCCGTGAGCGCGGGGCGCGCCGGGCGGGGGCTGGCTCGGGCGGTGGGAGCGGCCCGTTCAAGCTGTCTGTAGTTAGGAAATAAACCCTCTCAAGTTGCACATCTGCCTCTGACGTTGTTGGCTGGGTGAATAACATGAACATACACATCCGTCAAATAAAGCGCAGCGCTTAGTGGAGGCGACGCAGCTTGGCTCCCCTGTGACCACGCGGCAGTGTGTTTCCTTAGGGCCATGGCCAGGAAGTGAGCGTCCCTGTCCCCTCAGTGAATAAGCCTGCAGGGGGCAGGGTAGTTTAGGTCACCGCTCAGGGCGGCTACGTTTGCCACACTCCGTTGGGTGGGAAAAGATGCTCAGCTAGAAGATGCATGAAAAGGCAGGATTCCTACGAAACTGACCCTGCAAGAGTGACCCCGACACCTGCCCAAGGGCCAGCCCGACATTGGTGAAGCTCAGTGGCAGCTGGAAGGGCTCCCTGGGCTGTAAGGTGGGAAGCTGTGGTAATGTTCCCCGGGGTCTAGCTGTGTGGCCTTAGGCAAGTCTCCCCTTCTCCAAGATTTTGTCCATCTTCCCCTCCGTAGTGTGAGGGCTATTGTGCGGGTTAATTTAAAAAATGGATTTGATGATCTTATCACTGAGAAGCTAAGTGTGAGTGCTGATGGTTGGTGTCGGTTGCAATTTGCATGCCCAGATACAAACATTCTCAGACACATGGTCTCACTCACATAGACACACTCATGGAGACACATCTGGGTAAATACAGTGCAGTATACATGGGTACTTATTCCAGCCCCCGGCTCAAGCCTTGGGGTCTCCCCTTTTCCCCAGCTCCTCCCACACTCTGTCCTCTGGTGTTGCTCAGCCTAAACCCTTCGGGTCATTCTCAGGGCCCCTGGCTCAGGCCTCCACTATTGCAACAGCTTCCTAACCAGCTGGTCTCCTTGTCTCCAGTTACGCTCTCAAACCATCAGGTATAAATTCTTCATAGTAATGTATACAAAATCTTGCTTGCCCCACATCCCTGGCTCAAGAGCTAAAAAGTAGCCCCACCCCAATTTTCCATCAATTCTAAACTACAGGGCACAGCGTGCAGGGCCCTTGTCAATGAAGTTCCCGCTGCCTACTGAACCATACTTCCCATGTTCCTACCTACTGGGCATCTCTCTTCTCCCATCCTCCTTCACCCTATGCCTGGAATTCCCCACCTTTCCCCATCATTTTGAATGTTACCCCTTTTTCAACATAAGGTTAGGCTCAATCCCCTTCCACTGGGAAAATTGTGATCTCTTCCAGCCACACCTGCTCATCTTCAGTGTTTCTGTGTCAGCTCCTCCTCAGTGGGGGGCATGCAGTCTGGCTCAGGTGGCAACTTCCTTGCAGTGTGTATGTTGTGTGCTCTCAGGGAAACCTAAGCTCCACTAGGGCAGAGGCTATGGGCTGGGTTCCTTTCATATGTCCTCATGATGTTCGCACAATGCTGGGGCCATAGGTCTGCAGCCACACATATTTCCAATTCACAAGAGACTCACAGACACATACAGAGAGAGATGTACACATACATGTCAACTGCATTAGGCATACCAGTGAGCGGTATTGGATCAAAGTGGCTGGGGAATATTTGCATATGGCACACATACTATTATGATGATCTAGGAATTCACAATGAAAGAAAACTGGAATGCCCTGATGTAAGAGGAATCAGAAAGCCAGATTCCTAGGATAAAATCTCCCCCACTGTAATGAAAAAATGGCCCACACCTTCTGTCAGAGGGTGCTCCATGCTGGGAATCCTGGGCCTCATGTTTACGCCCTGGTAGCATCCTTTCCCCTACCCTCCTTCCTTTTGAGGCAAGTAAAGTAATGGCAGGTGGGGGTGGCTAAATGTCAGTGGTTCGTGTTGGTATTTTCAGATCCTATTTGCATCTTAAAAAACCATTTACTCTAAAGAAATCAAATAGACAGCTAGGTGGTGACAACATTAACATTTATTTGAAAAGGGCATCATAAAGACTGGGAAGTCACGCTAATAGTCCTAAAGAAGGATCTTGCTAAGAGTCCTTCTTCCTACACCCCACCCCCCACTCCTCTCCCCCCTTCCTTAAAACTAACTTGACTCAATGAGTTTAAAATACAGAAAACTGCCACAGGCACTAATTGTGCACTCCCATATAAATACGTCCGCTGTTATATACATACATCGTCAACTAGGAACTATGGGTTACACACACGTGCACGCACACTCTCAGCCAGGTCCTGAAGGCCTAAATGGACACAGACAGGTCATAGTGTATGGGCTGCAGCATTTGTGGGGTTACAGCTGGGCGCCCCACAGGCCAGAACCAGCAGTCACGGAGGAAGCGCTCAAGAGGGGGTTCCCGACGACGACTGGGCCCTAAGGTCTCCTGGAGGAGCAGAGTGCTGGCCAACCTGGCCATTGTGACAAGAGGCACAGAAAACGGCCTTCTCACCCCAACAGGCCACAGAGCCCCGGCCACTGCCCCGTGCCTTCTCCCCACTTCCCTGGCTGGCCAGGCCCACCTTGACCATCCTTTGCCAGTCTTCGGGTGTGGCCAGATTTGGGATAGGGGGCCCTCTAACCAGACGATTCCTAAGGTGAGTAAGATGAAGAATGCAGCGCCCTGAGCTGCCTCCCCAGACATCAGGCAGAGGCATTGTTTCAACACAACCGCCTTCGGGGTCCACTGGTCGGGGGAAGCGGGCGTGGCCTGCCCAGAGGAGCTCATCCACCTTCAGACTTCATACTGGGCCTAACAGCTCAGGTCTGTCCCCTCCCACAGGCCCCCAGCTTGCCACGTGTCATCTTATGGTCACGAGGAGGAACTGGGAGAAGTAGCCTCCCTTCTCCATGATACTCTCTGGCCCCAGGTTGGATGGACTGGGGACAATAAAATAGCAACTGGAAGGAATCGTGACCCAGAGGCCCCCAGAGAAGCCCAGGGGTCAGGCCTCGGAGCCATTTAAAGGTACCCCGAGGCTATGCTAATTCTTAGGCTGGTTGAAACATGTTCTCTGGGACCCAGAACACCCAGGGCAAAGGGCAGTGCATATGTGACCCTCACGCTTCTTCAAGCACTGTTGTCAGTCCCAGCACCACCTTCTCACTGCTCACGCCTTGAGACCTGTGCATGAGGTGGAGGGCTGCACAGAGAGAATCTGAGAACTTTTCCAGTTCTTCCCCTGCCCTGCCTGGGTTCCTTCTCTGGAGAGGAGGCATTTAGGAGTCGAGAAATCACTTATTTCTCCTTTTCAGAGAGAAGGAAATGGGAACAGGCCCAGGGCACTGGGGACCCTACTGTGCGGAAAACAGGAGGAGCCTCCAGGATCACAGTGGTGCTTTCTGCTGACCTGCTGCTTATGCGCGGACATGACTCAACCAAATTAATACAATTTCCAAATCTCAAATACATTCACCCCCATTAAGTTCTGTCTGCAGGGTGCTAACCAAACCTACCCCTTGCCCATGAGGCAAGAGTCCTCAGCGGCTTTGGGGAGCAGCTTGTTGGGGTGGGCTTGCTAGCTCAAAGTCACAACAGACAAGGGTAGCAAAAAGGGTCAGTCACAAGACACAGTGCCATCAGACACTACGGGGCTCAGAGGGTAGGAAGCAGTGATGGATGCTAGACCTCAGGTCTGGCGCTCAGCAAATTGCTTTGCATCCATTCCCAGGGCTTGTGGAGGGGTGGAGGGTGGGGGTGAAGGAGACTGCCTAATTTATCATCTCCTTGTCAATTTGAGTTAGCATGCACCTTAAACTTTCTGATTCTGAGGCATACTTGGCCAGAATCCAGGTTCTACCTCCTGTTAGCGGGCAACCTAATATCCTACTGTCAGTTTAAATTGAAACTGGGAAGATGGCACTCAAAAAAAGACGGCCAATTTTCTAAAAGAAACACATCTTTGCTACGCAGTTGTGATGGAAAGAAAAAGCTGCTTCAGATGCAGAAGAGGAAGGAGCTGAGCATATGAAAAATGGGAGCCCACCCCTTTTCTGCACCCCGTTCCCAGGGAGGGGGGAGGGAGGGACGTCTGCGTGAACCTGCAGGTCTCTGGTCCTAGCGCTGGCTCAAGAAAGGGGCCCCAGGGCCCTGCCTCCCACATTCCAGAACCAGGGTCACAAGATCAGCGCTCAGGGTGCAGCTGCCATGGGAGGGACCCTGAAGTCAAGGAGGCACGAGGGAGAAGCAGGGTTCCTCATTGAAGCCGAGCAGGGGACACAGCGGGGAAGACCCTGAGAGGAAGGATGTGTTTGTGATTCGCGATTTAGATTTCCTGTGAAGTTTCTTCCCAAGGTTATTCACCTTCAAGTTTGTTTCCAGTTATTTGAAATGTGGTTTCTTAATAAAGATATTAAAGTGAGGAGAAGTCTTAGTTCATGCTTGTAATGAGCATTAGCCAAAAGCCACGAGGGGAGCAGAAGCCGGGCCCCAAGCCCTGTAATCATGCGGGCCATCTGGAAGCTGCAGGCCCAGAGCACGGGGGCAGTGACCAAGGGGGAAACAACAAGAGCAGGGTCAGAAAGCCCCCTGCCCAGGAGATAGCTGCACATGTAGTGGGAAACGCGTATGCTAAATTTCTCCCAATTTGAGAAGACACCTGTCTGTGCTGATCATCGGGCTCTCAACCAAATTAATACAATTAATACAATTTCCAAATCTCAAATACATTCACACCCATTAAGTTCTGTCTGCAGTGTCCTGAAAAGCCTGCCATCCCCTCAGCAGAAACAGCCTGCTTCTGACCCCAGCCCCCACCACCTAAAATTGTACCCTAAAAGGGGTTCCTTTGGGTCAAGAAATCTATTCACTCTCCCTCTTTTTAAAAAACAAATTATCTAGGGAGGAATCATTTGGCCATTCCCACCTTACTGTAAGTTATATTGGCTCAGAAAAGTTATGGATGTTTCACTGGAAAAGGAGAATTATTTTGGGCCATTGGGCGCTGTCCCAGGAGGAGGCCCAGGTGAGGTCCTGTCAGAGGCAGCGGGGTGAGAGAGGGGAAGTGCAGTGCACAGCAAACAGCTCCCTGGCTCCTACTCTGCACACAGACAGACAGACCGGACTCAGGGAAACACAGAGCCCAAGGGGGTTTCCACCACTCTCCCCAGGCCTCGAGCTTTGCCAGTTGGCACTGAGGTTCAGATTTGTCCAAAGAATTAAAAAATCATCCCAGTATCAGGTGCTGGATCCTTCTTTCCTCCAATGAAACATCGAAAAGGTTGACTTCTGACACCCTTGAGTCCCAAAGTGCTCCTCCCCCACTACCATCCCTTCCCACCCTCCATCCCCAGCCCAGCCAGGCCGGGCCAGGAGCCTCTTCCACACTGCAGATGCTCCTCCTGAGTCACTTAGAACCATATTATCTGGTCCTGCCCTCCCTCAACCCAGAGGCTATGGAAACACATTGGGCTCCTCAGAAAGAAAGGCAGCAAAGAGAGAGCTCAACTCAGAGAAACATCCAGAAGGGAGAGAACCATGGGAAGGCCAAGCAAGCTCCCTCTGAGAAAAGGGGGTGAGAAGACGCTGCAGAGGGACCTGCCCACTTCTGCCTGCTGCTCCCCTCGGGGAGGCAGGCCCAGCCTGGGGAGAGCCAGCCCCTCCATCAGCAGCCGCCTGCCCTTCGTTTCAGCCGTTGCTGCCCCCACCATGGTGTCTCTACCCCAGCTCCTGTTATAAGGGCTCAAAATTAATTAATAATAGAAAGAATCACGAGGAGACAGCTGCAGGGTGAGCAGGAGAGTGGAAAAGACACTGGAGATTTGAGGGCCTCGGGACCAGAGGGAGGGGATGCTCTGGAGGAGAGCGGTCGCCCAGCTTCCAGCTCTCCCTGGGGGCTTCCTCTTGATTGCTGTCTGCAGCTCCCTTTGACCAGCTGTGTCCCCATCCAGTTTCCTCCTGAGGGGATGGCTGCTGTGCCCCCTCCCACCCACACACCGTAAGAGCCTTTCACTTACTGCATCACATAGGAGCTCCTCAGGACCTCAGACCCCCTACAATTCTAGGCCCCTCACCAACACCACGGAGGAAACTACAGGGCACAGGTGAGAGGCTTATTGGCCCTAGAGGGGCAGGTGGCCGATGCCCTCAGGGAAGACAAGGGGGGAGTGGGAGGGCCTGGGGCTCCACCTTGCTTAGCTGGGAAGGTGCTGCCATCCAAGGTGGCCTTTTCTGAGATCTCAGATTTGCACGTAGTAGGGGTGGGGTGTGAGGGTGAGCCCCTCCCTCACACCCTACCCCTCTGAGGAGCTCCATCTCTTGGAATTCAGTACACGCACAGATCTGGAAATTTCATCTCGTAGACAGGGATGGAGTGGTTCTGAGGCTGCCCATAGGCTGCGGTGATGGTTCCTGACGGGCTCGGCGGGGGCCTGGGGCAGGAACACACAGGGGAGAGAGGGATGAGGAGGGGTCCCACCCCGTGCCACCAAATAGAGCCACTGAATTGTGTTTCTCTTTGAACAGGGACTAGAGCCTTTGTCACCCCATGGGTTCCCAGGTTTCAAGTTGTTCTAGAATCTACAGCTCCATGGCAGGCTCTACAGTGACAGTATAGCTTTAGAAAGTCAAGCCTCATCCTTGGAAAAAAGGATCCCTGGCTCTTTTCCAGGATTCACTGAGCTGTCTCTTTCCCTCTCTAGTCTCCACTTCCTTTTCTGGGGAGAGTTGGTGGCTGACTCCAGCCCTGGAGACAGAGGCTGGGGAGAGGGAAGACTGAAGACAGTGAGAGGAAGACTCGGGGGGAGGGGGCCCAACACTGGGCCACAGGAGTAGGCATCCCCTGGCCAGGACTGCCACTTACCGGATGGTGATTTCAAAGATCTGATTGAGTTTGCTCTGCAGCAGCGATGCCTAGACACAAACAGAGGGAGAGTCAGCAGGGCTCCCACCCTCTGCCGGCTGTCACGGGCCCACCTGTCCAGAGCTCACACTGGAAGCTTGGGCAGTGCAGCCTCGGGAAGGGAATGGTGGGAGCTCTAACGGTGCGAGCTCTTTCCCAGCACTGGTCTGGGGACCCTGGCTGTGGGTTCAGGTCAGCCAGAGCAGCCCAGCAAAGGCCCACTAGGGAGAGCATGGAGGCCAGGAACACTAGGAGGGCTTCAGAAGGCAGTTCTTGAGGGACGCTTAGCTCCTCCAAGTGGGACAGTAGGGCCTGCTGGCTCCAGCTCTTTCCTTAACTCCAAAGAAGCAGCTGTGCAAAACCGGTGGGTTAGGGAAGATGCTCTCTCTGGTCCCTTCTGGCTCCAATTGAGTCCATGTGCACAGAGAGTGAGCTGAGCACATGTTCAGCTCCGAGCTCGTGAAATGAGCAGCATCTACTGCTTGAGATAGGACAAGAAGTTCGGATAATATAGGTTCCAAAAATCGATGTCATACTTACATGTATTTATATGTTATTATATGTAATTATCATAATATATTAGAAATATATATATGTAAGTATGTATATTAGATATATATTATATAATAGAAAAGACTATTGCATGTATTTTTATTAAAAGGAAAAAAATACAGTAAAATATGAGTTATTTGTAACTTTTGGATGTTTATAATTATATTTCATTGTTACTATGATGAACACAAATCCTGGCTTATAAAATCAGTCTCAAGAAATGTTTATGCCCTTCTGTTAAGTATAGACATGAGCCCTTCTTTCCACTTGTCTGGGACCCTCTCTTGCAGACCTTTCCCAAGGCTGCTGTTCCATTCCCCCTGTCTGGAAGTGGGTCCTGTTGCAAACACTGGCCATCTTCCCTTCCCCATGGCTCCCTTCCCCCATCACTCTGTGATGTGACAATCATACCGGCACTAACCTTGCAGAGTGGTCATGAGACTGAAATAAGCTACTAAATGTAAGGTGTTCTGATACATCTTACATAGGAAGTGTGTTATGTACTTGCTTTACGGTAATAATGATCATGGTCTGTCTGTTTGACGCAGGAGCTCCTGAGGTCAGGGCTTCTTCCTTACATGGAAAGTGTCGGGCCTGGAGGCCTGTATGACCAACAGGCAAGTCTTTTGTTTCATGGGGAAACCATGTAGGGCCAAGGTGTCATTGGCATCTAAACCCTAATTTCTGGGTGACAAAAGTGTCAAGATCTTCTAGCAACTCAGTTCTGCCCTAGAGCCGAATCCAGTGTCTGTTGGTCCCTGCCGGCTCGCCCCTGTCATGCCTCACTTACCCGGGCCCCGCAGTGCGCTGCAATCTCCTCGAAGGGCGCCTTCTGGAACTTCTCCACCACCTGCCGCCGCCGTTCACGCTCCTGCTCCTCCACGGCCACACTGTCCACTGCAGCAAAGAGTGGGGTCAGGCCTGGGTGGACTCCTCCCAGGAGCTCTCTTGGTGATGGCAACTCGGGCTCCCCCTCTGCTGATGGGCAGAGTTCGGGGGCCTGGAGGGTGTGTTGCCATCACGTGGCCCCAGGAGGGCTAGACCTTTTCCTGATTCTGCTCAGCCTCCTTCCTCATGTGAGGGTTCGAGAACCAGTTGAGCAGACCCTTAAGCTGGGCTTTTCAAGCCCCATGTAGCTGCACCAACGCTAGGACTCTTAACCCGAACAGGAAGTACCCTGGGGTGGGGGGCTTAAAAGGGACATCAAAAATGGAAAAGCCAGACACACCACAAAAGCCAGTGCAGAACCCCTGTGGCAGAGCGATGTGAGCCCCTTCAGGCTTCTACATATTCCTCTTGGTATCCAAAATCAGTTAGAAAAAAAGGGGAGGGGCCTCCAGTATGTCCATTATTCTCTGTTTAAGAAGGCAGAGCGAATGTAGGTTGGAAAGAGTACCATCAATGACAACAAAAATAAAAAAGGTCTGGCAGTTGAAGACATAATTTGTCATCAGCATTCAGAAGAATTCTCTCACTTGGAATACTTCATTGACCAGTAATTGAGACAGAAGATGTAATACTGCATTTTAAAATCTATTGCCATTGTTAAATACATATTAATATGATTTGTTCTTAATACTTGTCATTGGTCAACTTGTTCTTTGGTATCACATTCTACCAAACACTAGCCCAAGTCTTTATACACAATGCTTTTACCCTGGCTGGCTGTGACCCTCAGTGGATTACCTTAAAGGCAGCTATCAGTAGGAAAAAGGCCGCCTGACCTAGATACACGGGGCACCACTATTGATCCCTGTCAGGAGGCAGGACTTTCATTGCAGCTTTGGTGGGTGGGATGATTTCGGAGGAAGCTTCTAGCAGCTGCCCTCACGTCTATGTTGAATCATCCTCGGGAGGGTCGCAGATGGGGCTGCACACACCCACTCCCAGCCGGGACCCAGCCCTGCCCTCCCCTCCAGCCAGAGTCCCTGGGGGCTTCCCACTTACCAATGGCCTTCTTTAACGTCTCATAGGTGATCTCCTCCGCAGGCACTCGCTGAGGGAGAGGGAACAAGTGTTCAGAAAGGTGGAGCAGGGGCGGGAGGGGAGGAAGCAGCCTTGGCTTCCTCAGTTATCTGGCAGCCCCTTCACTTCTCAGAAGACTGTCCCCATGGGCAGAAACTCCCTCAGGATACCCACCTTATCACCAGGGTCTCCGGAAGCTCCCTGAAAGTAGTGACATGGGGGTGGGGAGGCTAATTCCTCATCAGAGTCTCACCTAAAAGGACTCACTGTCCCCTCCCTCTGGCTTGTCCCATTAGCCCAGCAGGAGGAAAACACTTTGTAATAATAACAAAAAAAATCTTCAGAGACCTAACAGAAAATATTGGAAGAGGGCCTTATATGTGTAGATCACCATCTGCAAGTATAATTTCAAATGTAGATTTCAAGAATTGAGTAACATTTTTGAGGACTTATGGGGTGGGGGTGGGCAGTAGCCTCCAACTCTTGCTGCGGCGCTAACCCACTTGAGGTTCCCAGTCTTGCAGAGCTGGAAGGGCCTGGTTCAACCTCATTTCACTTCTCCAGTTAGCCTGAGTCAGACCCTCCTTCCTTCCGTGGGAAGGTTCCAGACAAGCTCTGGAAAGCCCTGGACTGGAGGTCTGCCCCGTAAGCGAGGAGCTGTGAGAGGCTGAGGGAGGCTTGATCTTGACCCCAATGCCTTCTTGCTCCACTCACATCTGGGGAAAGGCTAGGTGTCCAGACTGTGCTCCATGGCCACACCAGCCCCAGTGGGCAGAAACTGTCCCTGCCCCCAAACTCTGCAAGTCTTCCTGTCCAAGTCCTCACTCATTGCTGAGGTTTCCCCCACATCTCCATCGATTCCCTTAATCGGAAGAGTCACCATGAAAAACAAGCGCACTGCATCTTGTGGCTTCAGCTCCCTCAGGACTCCTTTCTCCCTCCTCCCTGTCCCTCCCCCACATCTTTCTCATGTGAGGAGTGAATTTGGTATTTCCACTATGATTCCCTATTCTTCCTTTCTCGTGGGTACGTCTACTTTATTTTCTGGGGTAGAAGAAATAATGGCAGGGGAGGTATCGCATATTAATTTGTACAGAGACTAGATATTCACAGCCCTCAAGAAAAGATGGGAGAGAGCGCGTTGAGCTGCAGCCCCTCTTTCAGAAAGCACCGTATGGGTATATCTGGAGGAAACACCGTGGGAGCTATTCTTGGCCTCCTCTCTCCTAGCAGGCTTCCCAATTTCCAGCATGGAGCACATCTGTCCCCACCATGAATGGTGAAGAACCACCAGGAAGTCTTTCAAGAGAGATTTTTGATGACATTCTCAGGGGAGTGCAGTAGAGAGAAAGATGGATACAAATGCTTTTTTCCAGATGGAAATGTCTATGATATACATGATGATAGTAAGAAAATTGGACTTCCTTGAGAAATTTACTTTCTGTGCAACCTTAAATGTGTTGTGCAGTTAAGGGGGCCTGGAGCATGGAGCGTTTGACTGCACGGGAGGCTGGAGCAGGTCCCCTCCCCTGGGGATGCCGGGCTTCCCCAGAACAGTGTATCGAGAAGACACCCACCTCCTCCTTCTCAGGGCTGTTCCTAGACTCCACCTCCACCTGCAGGGAAATGGTTTCTCCAATGCTCTTCCTCTTGGACAAGCGATCCTCATCTGGGAAAGGAGAAGCCAGATGCTTGACCTCCCAGCCCCGGGGGAGCGAGCCAGGATCATGCCCCTGGTACCATCTCCTAAGCCTTGTGTCTATGCCTAGTCCACAGTCCTCTGAGGGCTCAGGGCATGTGAGGCCACAGCTGGACTTTACAAACAGCTGTGGGCCTTCTCTGCCCATCTTAGGGTGGCGAGTTCTGCTCCTTAGGGCTAAGATTTTGAAATCCTTGATGAGCACAAAGAAGCTGCTTAGGACCAGAAAGCATATCTTGACTTTGCTCATAACACTAGCGGTTGTCATTTGTGTAGTATTGACTACGTGCATTTGCCTTCATTATTTCATGTACCTTTCCACCAATCCCCTAAGGCAAGTACTGTTAATATTTCTATTTTACAGTCAAGGAAACTGAGACTCAGAGATGCCAAGAGACTTGTCTAAGATTTCCCAGGAAGTCAGTTACAGAGGACTGGGTCTCTGTAGCCCATGTGTCACACAAAGCGGCCTCTCCCATCCATGAGCTAAGCTATTATATGGGCCAGCTGGGAAATCCAGAGGATCTCACATAGATTTCCACTGTGCCTTTCAGCTCTTCTATGACATCCAAGGTGCCATGGAAGGCGACCAAAGTCCCTTACACTCAGGTCCTTACTTGGCCAAGACAAGCCAGAGGTAGGCCTGGAAGCCCTTGGGCAGAGCTCATACCTGTCAGCTGAGGGATATAGGGCAGGCAGAGCCTGTCTGAATTGTAGCCGCTGCCCCCCAGGACTTCACTGATCTTGCTTTGGCGGAAGAGGAACTCAATCACCACTCCATCCAGATTCTGAGACAGCCTGGAAGACAAAGGAGGAAGGGGCTAGTGAGAACCATGGGTAACTGGGATGATTCCTGAAGGCTTTCCTTATGATAAAGGTAGCATTCATTATACCAAATAATGGAGATGCAAATGGAAAAGAAATCACCCAGAGTCCCACTTTCCAAAGATAACCTTCAGTGAGCAGAATCCCCCAGTCACGCACATTTATGCACACACACACACCCCACCCTGCCCCCACATTCCTGCCCTATGATCTATTTAATGTACCTATTCTATATGAATATTTCATATTAACTGTTCTTCCGAACCATTGTAAATGAGCTACCAATCATCTGCTGTGTGGATGGGCCGTAATTGATAAAGCCAGCCCCTGTAGTTGGACATTTTATTTTTGCAGAATATCTCTTCCTCTGATGCTGATGTGACATTGGCCCACAGACTACAGTCTGACAATGACACTTGGATTGATGGTAGTGTCTTGTCCAGAACAACCGCTCCAAGATTCCTTCCCCATGGGCTTGGCCGAAGCTCCCAGAGGTGGCATCACATACCCTACATGGTACAGCACATCAGTATAGCTCAAGGTGTGTATTGCAGTCACATGGTGAGAGTCAAACTTGACCCAGGACCTGTGGGCCACAGGCGGGTCCATTTGCAGCCCCAGAGCCCATAGAAGCCGATGCCCCTGCCTCCCACCTCCCACCTTCTTACTCAGCTGCCTTGGGTATCCTGGACCATGTCCCAGGTGCACTCCTCACCTGGGCCTCCCCACAAACACGTCCTCAGGGAGCATGTACGGGGCCTCTTTCTTCCTGGTCTCTATCACCTGGAGTTTGGGAGGAGTCACAAGGTAAGAGCTGGGTTCAGCAGGAGAGGAACCCCAAACAGGCAAATGTAAGAGCTCCCACCCCCTCTGTGTTTCCTCTCCCACAGATCAATGGCAGAGCCTTCTACAGCTGGCTTCCGAGGGACAAACTCAGATCACAGTGACCCTCGGAGCAGCCAGAGAGGACAGGTGGTCTGCTCAAGCTCTCCCCAGTGACACATAGGGGCTAAGTGTCCTCTGAGTGCAGGGTCTTAGCTCCTGAGAGACTGTTCTTTCTTGCTTCTGTGACCTGTTCCTGTTTTCTCTTTACACCTGAAAAATGGAGCCCAGGTCACGCCATTCCCAAGCCCTGGTGCATGCATTGCAAACACATCCTGAGGGACAGTGACATCTTGAGTTTCTCTCAATATCCTTCGCAAAGTGTTGACAAGAAAGGTGAAAGTTATTAACATGATGAGAAGTGGGAGGATAGTTGGCAGGCAAGTGTGTGGAGGAGGCGAGTAAACAATGACGCCACTATTTTTAATGAAGAGATGAGTAAGCACAGGTGCAATTGCCCTTAATTGCAATCCTAAGTGCAATTAAGGAGAAGTCCTGGGGAAGCCCCAAGACAGGGCTTCCTGAGCTCTCCCGGTCATGAGGACATCTCAGGGACATCTCAGGGACACCAACCTCATGGATGTGCTGGCAGAAGGCAGGTACCGTCGTGAGCTGGCTGATGAGGTTCAGGTAGGCGGCGCCCATCGCGTAGAGTGCGCAGCGGTTGTATACAGGCAAGTTCTCTTCGTTGGCCTGGGCCAAGTCCTGTGGCAACACAGAGGGGCCTTTGCAGTTTTTAATTGACAAACTATACTGATGCCCCCCCTCCACCTAACCTCCCCCAACCACAGGGAGATGGTCCACTGCTCTAGACTAAGCCTTTTTCAGCATTTGCCTCATAATGCCCTGGAAGTCACAGCCGTCCTTATTAAAACTGAAATGAATGGTTCCTAGAACAGTCCACCAGAGGTGATAACCTCAATCCAACACTTTGCAGTTCCATCTTTAGTCACTTCGTCCAAACCTTCATCAGTAAGCCCACCTCTGGGATGCTGTTTCCTTCACTACAGACCCTGCATGATTCTTAGAGGGCAGGATTGGCTTGCTAAATTCGGTTCACATGTTAAATTGAGAAAGTTGTGGGAGTTACTAGGGATTGGGATACAAAGGAATCTCAGATTCTACAATGAAGACAATCATAGCATCTGGGTTGGCCTTGCAGGATTTAGCACTGCCAAACAAGTGGCCTGAGACTCGCCACCACTGAATTTCCAGGCTTGCCACAATTCAGAACACAATGCCTGCCTGGCCTCAGGACCCCAAAGACCCTTATCCCTGAGGTCTGAAAGACACCCCAAGGCCTAAACGGTACTTCCACCCAGGCAGATCTCGAAAGTCTGAAGCCCTATGTAATGCCACACTGCCTGCTAAAAGTCATAAGGAAGGCCTGCTGAATCTACAGGCCCCCAGGCTCAGGGAGAACCAGAAACATGTATTTTTAATAAGTGCTTGAGGCAATTCTGAAGCACATCCAGGTTTGGAAACCAGATGATTTGCTTTGGGATCACTCGGCGCTTATAAGCAGCCTCTTGGCAATACTGAGTCCCATTCAGATCCTTAGAGACTTGATATACTAGAGGTTAAGGGGTATTTTTGAATGACCCTGTTGGCCTGGGTCTCCTTTAGCCTGAGAATGGGCCAAAGCCATGAATGAAACATTCTTCAGCGGTTCACCTACAGGCCATGGTTGGTGTTCTTCATGGAGGAATGGCCAACCAGGGGCACAGTATTCCAAGGCTCCAAAACAGCTGTTAAGCAGTTGCTACTCGGCACTCTAATCAGTGCTTGGTCACAACAGATCCTCTCCCCTGATCCGAACCCCCATGTCCTGCCCACACCAATCCCACCTGAACAGCCAGCACCAGGCGGATAAGGTCTACCACCACCTCCTCGTTGGCCAGCTCAATGCTGATGAGAGCCAGCAGGCCGTAGAGCGCCTCGTAGTGCTTCTGTATGTTCGTTTCCTCCTTACAGCTCAGGTAGATGTGCCTGTAGAGCTGCTGGGAGTGCTGGAGATGTGGAGAAGGGTGCGGGCAAGGCCATGGTGGCAGGGCAAGGACAGGAGGGGCAAGAAGAATAGAAAAACCAACCTGAAGAGGGCGGGAAGGCCGTGTGTACCCCACCTCCACCCTCAGGGGGAGGATGCCTGTCAAGCAGACCCAGCGGATGTGAATACGTGCAGGAGTGCATATTTAGGGAAGGCTGGGTCCAGTCTTCCAGCAACAAAAGCTGCTGCCCAAATTGTTTTTGCAAAGAGCAGGACACAGTGTCACTGCCCCGGTCCTCACTCTGGTCTTGGTGATGAGTATGACCCTGGGCGCTTGACCCCAAGAAGGGTCGGCTGCTCATTCTGCCTACGAGCAGTCAAAGAGGCAGGAGGCAGGCTCTGGAGCAGCAGTCAGCAGTGACTTGGGGCTGGAAGGTCAGGGTCCCAGGACCTGGTCTGCTCAGGATTCACTGTATCTTGAGGTCACATTTGCTAACCTTCTTCATGAAGACGGTGTCCTGCCGGGAGCACTTGTCCACTTTCAGCTTCAGGACAGAGATGTCACTGAGGGTACTGAAAGGGGACATGAGGGGCCACCTTAGCCCTTGTGTGAGGACAGTCAGAGCTCATGTGGCGTCACTGGGCTTTATCCCCAAGTCAATAGTTGTACCAAAGCCTCCCAGTGCTCCTCCCGCCCTGGTTCCTAGCCCACTCTCTACCTTCTCCCAAGTTCTCTAGTTCCTGCCCCTTTTTCTTAAACATTACTCTAGTTTTTCTCTTCCTCCCCACCTGAAAACTCCCTTTAGTAGGTGCTCTTTAGCTCCCAAATTTCCAGCCCCTCCCCTTCTCCCCCAGGTCAAGTGCTCTTTCAGTCGCTCCTCCCCGTGTGGGGCTCCAGGGTCAGTGTCTGTGATCAGCTCCCTGGTGGGTCTCACTGAATCTCTGAATTGTACCCCCATCTGCATGCGTGGCCCTATCAGGCCCCTCACACATCAACAGGGGGAGGCCCCAATTTCACCTGATGGAAGAGAACTTGTGGCGGTTGCCATGACGATCAATGAAACTGATGAGAATCTCTAGAACGAAGAGACGGATCTCTGCATCATCCATGAGGGCGGTGGACAGAAGGCGGTCAAGGAAGTTGCTGGGCAGGGCTGACATCATGTTGTTGCACTGGAAACCTATGGACACCTGCAAGGGAGCCCAAAGATAGCTGTACTTAGGAATGCCGGCCCCCTCAGGTGCAGCGAGGAGATGGAGGAGCAGCTGGCAGAGGTTGGGCCTGAAGCATCCATCCTCTCTGGGCATCTCCTAGTCCAGTTCCCTGGGTCCAGATCCCCCAGCCCAGAGCCACCCTGGGCCCTGGATGCCTTCGGCAACTCGAACATCCACCTAGACAACCTCCTCAGCTCAGCTCAGTAGACATGTGGTTGGACGGGAACAGTGTGTGGGAACATAACGTGGTTAAAAGCAAGCCAGGGATGAGCACCGGAGGGAAGCAGGAGTCAGGGAGCCTCCGAACTTATGTTCCATGCCATCAGGGCACAACTGATGAAGACACACTGTGGATATAATGCTGTACTAAGAGTGTGGGCAGTCACAGAGAGATGGAAAGACGGGAAGAACTTACAGCTGGCCTGAGGAATCAGGACCCACGCACAGGGCAGCCACCAAGAGCACACAGAGCATTTGCTTCCATCCCTTCTAGCATGGCCATGAAGGGGGTCTTCTGATTAAAGCCAGTTGGCACAGACACATTATATGTGATGTCAAAGCAGTCAAAAGCAGAGAAACATATTTACTGTTACCCTATATTATAAAACAATGCCTTTGATGATTCAGCGTGTCCTGGAGGAGCCAGCAAAACCTGGCACCATCAATGGTAAACACCAGTGTTCACTGAAGGGGGATGTATCTGAGTGCATCCCAAACTGTCACCTTAGTAAGATGCCAGGTACAAATCAGTGAGGGTAAACTCAGCAAAGAAATGGCAGGAGTACGCAGATGGGGGAGGTAACCAGATGTGGGCAGCATTGGCACGAAAAGCCTTTATAAAAATAGAGTGACAGGAAAGGTGTGGGCTGAGGGAGGGGAGGGGAGGCATGAGTGGGCTGAGGGGGCTGTGCAGACAGCCAGGCTGGGACAGAGACGGCTGGGGGATGCGATGGGCAGTCTAGGGAGGGAAAGGGGATTGAAGACCTTCCAACCTCAGTGTGAAAAGACAGGCATATGTCATTTTATTGCACTTTGCTTACTGTGCTTGGCAGGTATTGCATTGTTTTATATATTGAAAGTCAGACCCTCCACCAGCACAAAGATTACGACTCGCTGAAGGCTCGAATGATGATTAGCATTTTTTAGCAATGAATTATTTTAAAAATAAGATATGTCCATTGGTTTTTAGACATAATGGTATTGCACACTAAAAAGTCTACAGTATATATAGTGTAAGCACAGCTTTTATATGCACTGGGAAACCAAAAAATTTGTGTAACTCGCTTTTTTGCGACGCTCGCTTTATTGTGGTGATCTGGAACCAAACCCGCAATATCTCAAGGTATGCCTGTATGAATCCTGGATGTACATCAGCTGGAAACTGAGACCTCACTTTAATAAGGAGCAACGTGTGGGGAACAGCATTTCTAGAAAATTCTTATGGTTGTATTTACGATAGGTGAGGAGAGCTGGAGATAAAAGCAACTAGGAGAATCATGTATTTGTGAGATGTCCAGGGTTCAGGGCAGTGGGGCGCTTGTTATAGACAAAGACTCAGGGCCCCACTCAGACCAGTGTGGCTCAGAGTCTCTACAGTTCAACAAGCTGGTCATGGGAATGGTTCTTGAGGAAAATGAATCTAGACTCCAGTGATGGCTGCAAAGGTGTAAAAGAGGAATATAAACCACTGACGAAGGGAAAGCTTGTGGCTGGGAGACCGAGGTGAGCACAAATGCCAAGGAGGAGACAGGGGGAAGGATCTGGGTAGGTCATCGGAGGGGAAAGGGGCAGGAACCAACAGATTCCATCTCAGTACAGAGATAATGTTCGAGCGACAGTGCTCTGAGCAGCGGATAAGGAACCTTTGTGAAAATTAGAAACTGTACCCAGCCTGCTCTGGATAACTCAGCTCTGTGGGTCCTGCCAGACTAGTGAGAGGAACACAGGCTGGATTTCAGGCCGCACCTCATCCCTCTGGAAGAACATATTTGTGTAGCGTGCAACCTGCACAGCTGGATGCTGGGGCTCTGCTTCCTCCTGCAGAGGCCAAGCAGGAGTGGGGACAGGACAGGCTCACCTGGAGGAGGGACTTCAGCAGCATAATCTGGGTCAGCCGGTTCCTGTTCTCCCTGTGGACCAGAGATGCACATTCTCACTGGGACGGGGACTTAGGCGGAGACCCCACGCTTGCTGCCTACTTCTCCCTCATGGTTAGTTTTCCATGAGGCTTATCTTGTTGGGTTACCCAGGACAGTGACCTCCAGAGCCAGGGAGCAGACCAGGGAATTAATGGCTCCCCTCAAGGCGGGAGGCAGTTACTGGGGGGAAGGTGGCGCCCTGAGTAACTGCTGGGCGAGCCAAGGGCCCCTCTAAAGGCACCTGAGGGATTTGAGAGCAGAATTAGAGAAGTGAGGGCAGAACCAGAGGAGAGAGCGGGGAGTGTGGGAAAGGGTGGCCGGGCGCAGCCGAGGCTGAGGCTGAGGCCGGGAGGGACGGCGAGGTGGCCTACCCTGTCCTCCCGGTCTCCACGGGGTGATGCAGGGAAGGCAGCGGGACCTTGCTCATGATGAAGAGAATCACCTCGGAGCGCTGGTAGGTGGGCAACGTGCTGGCGAAGGAGCCTGCGGGAGAGAGGCGGTGGAGGGGTTGGCCTGGGCGAGGCCGAGGGCTGCGGGGGTCTCTCAGCTCAGCCTTTCAGCTGCTGCTCTGGGGGGACAATTAAGGCCCAGAGGAGAAACCTAGATGACTTCAGAGGACTCGCCCAGGCTCTGGTCCCTGTGCTTATTATTCCCGAGCCTGAGGCTAAGCTCGGGATGGAGAGCCTGGACCCTGGGACCAGGGCAGCCCCCGGGTGCCCACCTAGGCTCTGCCACCGGTGGGCTGCTCTGCTGGGTGCCCTTGGGTAAGTCACACCTCCGTGAGTCTCAGTGGCTTCACTTGTAACCGGGGATCACTCCTGCCCTGCCTACTCCTCAGAGCTGAGGGGAAGGTCGGGTGGCACTGGGGCAGGAAGGCTCTGAAAGTGATGAGCCTTACACGAGAGGTGGCTTTGTAGTCCCCCCCACACCCATGCACACACACTTTCTCCACAGCTTTCCCCCTTTCCTTTTCCTTACTTCCCACCTCCCCTCCAATCCCTCAAACTCGGGGGCATCAGGCAGGCCAAAGGGGGACAGGGCGCAGGAATAGTTTGCCTCTCTTGGCCTGTGATCTGAAGTCGGGGCCGAGAAATCCACGAAGATTGTTCTGGGCTCTCACTCAGGCCTGACCAGGGGCAGTCTGTGAGCTGAGCGCACCGTGGACTGATTCCATTTCCCCCGTGTTGGCGAGTAACATGAACAGATGACAATCTAGACCGCCCTGGACTGAAGTCCTTGTGGGAGCTATCTCCAGACCACGCCCTCCTGGACCCCCCCCCCCCC